TTAGTGGGGGTATTTTGGACGAACACGGGGTTATGTGATATTTCTCTCTCTCTCTATATATATATATATTTTATTACTATAACTAATTTTAACTCAGCTCAAAAAAAAATTTACTTTTAGTATTTGTCTACTCAATTGACAATTTCTCCATATGCCCTTTCTTTTAAAATTGATATCAAATTAAAAACACACCCTCTCTGATTATATATATATATATATATATATATATATATATATATATATATAATCTCACCAAGCATTTACAAATATAATTTTAACGATTAAGAACGTTCATGTCTATCCATCGTCAAACTATTCAGTATTCACTATGTTATGGTTTCACTCACAACTCTTTTCATGAATCTTTTTATTTGAAGCGGCTATTAATATTTATATTTTTTCCCTAAGTAAGGTAACCAAATAATAATTTTTATATATTCACTCAATGCAGATGTATTATGAACCTTTTTGGTCTCCTTATATTGTATTTTCATTTGAATCAACTACTGAGGGGCTTAATCAACTGTTGTTAATTATTACTGTTAGATGATACTATTACAGGGTTAGGGTTATCATGTGATGATCTTGTGGTTGTTCATGTCCCACTCTTCATCACATGCTGCATAGGTCGTCTGATGAGTCTTCAGATGCTTCAGGATCCGAAATTGAGATCTATTATGAATTTTTTTGAATTTCTTATTTTTGTGTTTTTATTGCACTCTTCCAGGTTACGTCAGTGGAAAACAACGAACTGTGTTTGTATGGGCACTAAAATACTGTCCAACAAATCTGTTCACAAGAGACTTTAATACGATAGTTACTGTAGCCCTTGCTTGGCTTACAACTTCCAAAACAATTTTCAAGAACAGTTTTTAGAGAATCAGAATAGAAAATAGTTTTTAATTTAAAAATCTGCTTGGTTGAGAAAACTATAAAACAATTTTCAAAAAAAAAAAAATTCATAAATATGCTTGTTGTATCCACTACAAATAAAATTTTGAACTATATATATATATATATATATATATATACATACATACATACATACATATATATATAATGTAAATCACTCTTTTATTTATTTATTTTTTAAGATGCTAACTACTAATGCAATAAATTTGTACATATATAAAAAAGAAAAAGAAAAATATTATTAATATATATATATATATATATATATATATATATATATATATAGTGGTAAATAAGTATATAGTATATTGTAGTCTAATATATTATATATATATATATATATATATATATAAAATTTAAATTGAATCGGATTGCATATAATCCATATTTGATTTATTAAGCTAACATGTTATCAGATTATTGAATTTTTTATTCAATCTATATTCAGATATTTGGACAGAATACTAATCATAATTCAATTCATTGGCAGGTCAATGTAGCTCTTTGGTGTTAATAAAATTAAAAATAATAATTTCTGTGGTTTTTATTGTTAGGGAAAAAAACAAATTAGTGGCCAAGTGAAATTGTTTGTTTTTTTAATTTTTTTTTTTTAAGAAAACAACACAGCACTACTGTGGGTTTTTTATAAATTTTTATTTTTAGTACAAAGGAACTTTTATCAACAATTCAAAGTAGTGCTACCTATTATGAAATTATATTCAGTGTGTTTGTAATAAGCTGGAATTTAACTATAAATTAAAATATCTGATGGGTAGGTACTTTCTATTAATCATTTATGTGTTCCAATTATAAATACACACATCTTCTAACTAATTTTTGTTAAATTAAATCTAAAAATTAAAATTAAAAGATTTGTATAAATATTATTATTTCAGTAATTAATTAGTGATATTATTCTCAACTCACATGCAAAATAGTTGAACACTGGAAATGTGGGTATTTATTGTGTTGAACAGAGGTAATGGTACAAACAAGTTGCTTAACAAAGACAAAAAGGTAGACTGGGAAATGTGGGTCTTTATGTTGAAAATTATGCAATTAATTTTCAAGGACACAAAGTCAGCAAAATACTTGTTCAATTAAGTCCAATTATAAATATATACATCGCTTAGGGCTCATTTGGCATGCGCTTTATTTTAACGCATTTTGTTTTTTATTAAAACAGAAACAGTATTTTTGCTGTAGTAGTGTTTCGGGAAAAAATCGAAAACATGTTTTGAAATGATGTTTTGCTGTGGAAATGTTGATTTTGGACCATGAAAAGTTGTCAAATCAAGAAAAAATTACTTTTGAGTGTTTTGGTTTTGGATCACTGTTCAAAAATAGTAGAAACAAAACGCATGCCAAACGGACCTTAACAAAGACAAAAGGTTGACGTGGAAATGTGGGACTTTAGCTTGTTGAACAGAGAGAATGGTACAAACACAAAGACAAAAAGGTTGACATGGAAATGTGGGTCTTTATGTTGAAAATTATGCAATTAATTTTGACTCAAAGTCGGCAAAGATATTTGCCCAATTAAGTCCTTGATTTTTATAAATTGATTTGATTTTATTTGGTGTTGATTGAAAGTTATTTTCTTTCCATGGACAACTATATCTTTCTTATATAAATAGTGTCTCCTGGATGTAAAGAAATTTATTACAAAATAAAAGAAATTTTCTTCATCATTTTTCTTTTAATTTTTCACTATTAACATTCTTTTGGTTCAACGCCTATTTTCTCAGTGACGGTTACACTTTATTGTGTTGAATAGAGAGAATGGTACAAACAAGAGGCGTGCGACAACGGAAAAGAGAGAGTTGGGAGTTTCTTATAATCTTGTTCCAGGAACTTCCACTGATACAATTATTATATATATTTCTTTACCTTTTTTTAATATGCTTTGTTTGGTTGATTAGCAGCATAATTACGATTCATTTCAGTATTCACTATGTTATGGTTTCACTCACAACTCTTTTCATGAATCTTTTTATTTGAAGCGGCTATTAATATTTATATTTTTTCCCTAAGTAAGGTAACCAAATAATAATTTTTATATATTCACTCAATGCAGATGTATTATGAACCTTTTTGGTCTCCTTATATTGTATTTTCATTTGAATCAACTACTGAGGATCTTAATGAACTGTTGTTAATTATTACTCTTAGATGATAATATTAGAGGGTTCGTTAGGGTTATCATGTGATGATCTTGTGGTTGTTCATGTGTAGGCTCTGCAACTCGAGCGGATTGGACAAATTTGAGGTGTAACTTGAGCCAACTTACCATATGAAATACTAAACCCAAGCCAAACGTTAACCGTATCATCAATCTTAACTACTCAATCCTAGCCCAATTCATCTTTCTACTTTAAAATTCGGGCTTACAACTCGGGCTTAGATTCTGGGTAAAAATTCGAGTTACTCACCTGACTAATTCTTATATCAAAAATTTAATATGATCTTGAATTAGTTTTAGATTAAATTATTCTTAAACAAGAAAAAGTTTAAAGACTTTTTTGTAAATTTTTAATAAATTGCAAACAAATTTTTTAAAAATTAATTCTCCTAAATGTTAACATACACTAAGTTAAGATTTAACAAAATGGAAAGAAAAAAAGTAATTACTGTTTAAATATTATATATAATGTAAAAATATATATGAAAATAATATTAGAATTCAAGTTCGGGTTGGCTCGGTTGTTAGCACTTTAATCGGAACCCAACCCTAATTAAATTCGGGTTGAGATTTTTCAACCCAAATCCAATTCTAATTGTAAAATAATTACCAAGCTCGTGAAAAATCAAGCTAAGCTCGGGTTGGCTACAGTTTATCCAACCCAAATTGCATCCCTATTCATGTCTCAGTCTTCATCACATGTTGCATAGGTCGTCTGATGAGTCTTCAGGTGCTTCACAATTCCAAATAGAGATCTATTTTGAAACTTTTTGAATTTCTTATTTTGTGTTTCTATTTGCTACTCTTCCGGTTACGTCAGTAGAAAACAACGAACTCTGTTTGTATGGGCATTGAAACACTGTCCAACAAGTACCTTCACAAGAGATTTTAATACAAGAGTTACTGTGGCCTTACTTGGTTTGCATCTTCTAAAACAATTTTTAAGAATAGTTTTTTAGAGAATCAAAATAAAAAATAGATTTCAATTTTTCAATTTAAAAATCTGCTTAGTTGCGAAAATTATAAAACAAATTTTTTTTTTTAGAAGGGTAAGAATCTACAACATACTGACTTGGACCAATACTAAATGAACATGTGATCTTTAATTACCAAATTAAAGATGGTGGGTAGATATTCACTTATCAAATTAGAGATAGTGATTTGATTACCATCTATAATTTGATAATTAAAATTAGTCGTATCCATTTATTATTGATCCACATCAGCGGTGAGTATATTGTAAATTCTTGTTGAGGCCTTAAGTATCATTCATTAAAATAAGAAGTATCTATTTATTATTAATCAACATCAGCTTATAAATCCTCAAGGACCTTAACTATTATTCTTTATAAATTCCCAAAACTTGAATTTTTATTATTATTATTATTATTATTATTTATGACTATTCTGTTAGTAAGATTTTGAAATTTGCAAACAAAAAATTGCCCATACCTTTTCACCATTATTATTCATTTTTTTTTTTGGAAACAGCAAAAGAAATGTTATTCGATTATTTTTTTCATTTATAATTATGTTTTGCAACCTTAGATTAATGCATAAAAGGTACCCAAGATTGGAAATTTGAAAGGGTTCCTCGTTACCAAAATAATAATATAATAAAATCATTGCAAAGAAATTCTTTATTATTTTGTTTTGGTTTATTTTTTTAACAAATATTTTGTTTTGGCTTGACAGTGACAACAAGAAACCACTAAATCATCGGTATAATATAGAAAAATATAATAACATCTAAGAACATAGATTGGCAGATAATTTAGATTTAAGGTTTAATAAATTAGTATGATTTTTAAAATTATACAGACCAATTAGCAGTAAGAGATTATGAGGATTTTTTCCCTCAAAGAATCAAGCAACTGCCATTATATTGAAACTCGGAGACACAAAATATCAAAAACCATAAAATAAAAATAAATAAATAAATAAAAAGGACATCTGAGAATTTTTTTCACTGGTTACAATTGTTGCTACCTGCAAGTACAACAATGACCTTCTTGCATACAGTCAAAAACTCATTCAGGAACACAGATGACCACTATTTCACCACCTGTTGAACAAAAGACGTGATCGACTGCACCAAAAGAACAAAATGTATTTTTCAGTTAGGAAATCGAAAACCAGAGGGTGCATCAACAAATTTTCATGTATCCAAATCGATTTAACATAATCCAACGCAATACCAGAAAGCATTTCTAAATATCATAAAGACATTTCAGCATCAAGGATAGTTTTTCATATTTGTTTCTTTTTGTAAAATCAGTCGACATTTTTCACAAATTTTACGAGATAAGGACTCACTAAACTTAAAATGAGAAGTCAGCGCATTACTATGAATTTCAAGTTGCTGATCAACCACGAAAAATTATTTACCTCAAACAGATCAAATGGCTTGTCATGCTTGTCGACCCACAACACTAGTACTCATGGGGTACGGGGCAAATGTGTGACATTCTGGTTGGACATGCACCTAACAAACATTATCGAATAGTTCAAGTTTACTATATAATTGTACATTATGAGATTTACTCAATAAAGAAAATATATATATATTTAGCAGCACTACCGTGTCCTTGGTTTAGGGTATTTCAGAAATCAGATGCTTTGAGAAAGTTACAAACACTTGATATATGTATCCAAATCCATTTAACATAATCCAACGCAATACCAGAAAGCATTCCTAAATATCATAAAGACATTTCAGTCATCAAGGAAAGTTTTTCATATTTGTTTCTTTTTGTAAATTCAGGAAAAAGATAATTGGATCTGAGATAAGGACTCACTAAACTTAAAATGAGAAATCAGCGCACTACTATGAATTTCAAGTTGCTGATCAACCACGAAAAATTATTTACCTCAAACAGATCAAATGGCTTGTCATGCTTGTCGACACCATCCTTCTCGACGCCATCCTTCATGACAACGCCATCCTTCTCGTCACCATCCACCTTGCTTGTATCATCAGGGAGAATGCTGAACAATAGTGCTCTCCATCCAATAAGTAAAAAAGCAGTGCTTCCCAGGGTTACTAGGATAAAGCTAGGTGGCGGAATATGGCCTACTGTTGCTGCCCTTATCGTCATTCCCACCTGCCAAGAAAAGGCAAAATAAAATAAAATAAAATGATTTCATAAACAACCAAAGTTAAGGAAATTGTTAGACGGATTAAAAATTAAAATAGACTTTGCTAAAATGCAAAAAATAAAAAAAATAAAAATTAAGTGCCATCTCCCAACTCATGCTCACACAAATTCATGTGTTCAGAGATCAATTGTGAAACTTCTATGGCTATAGATCAGAAATTTCCAAGTGTGCCGTCTGTTTTTCTGTTTCCTCGACATACTTCTACAATGTCGACGCTGAAATTTTTATGGCTATAGATTATGCCGTCTGTTTTTCTCTTTCCTAGGCATGACTCTACAATGACACCACAATTTTAGGGTTTGCAAATCTGTACAACAATGAACTTGTTGCATACATTCAAAAAAGACAAGGAAGTATTGGTGCTTGATACCAACAAAGATGCTGTATAAGGTACCATCAAAACAAAATCACTTACAATGCAAGTGTAAGTTAACAAGATGGATAGATTTCAGATATCAACATTAGACAAAAATGTCGACTAAATGAGCACGACAAGGAAACCTCGGGAGGAAGTGAAAATCATAGCATTGTGGCACCTAAAGCAGCAGCTGACAAGTGTTAAGCATTCACATATTTCACAATTCAAAGAAACCATTATGTCAATGATCTACCATTACAAGGTTTGTCAACCATTATTGAATCATTCTTGGACTTATATCCAACAACAAATAGGACTCAAATAACTTAATAAAAATTACAACTGCATAAAGTTTTAAACACTGACATTGCCAAAATTCATGACACAAAGTCCTAACAGATGAACTAGAAACGAAGCCCCCCCGAGAAGACAACATTACACTGGTGGAAAACCAAATAAGAAAAGCCACCAAGGTGAACTGGGAAAAAAAAAAAAAAAAGCCACCAAGGTGGTTCAGCCATGTGCACCACCAATGAAGTCTTAGAGAAAATACAAGTCTTACATGTAGATGCTAAAAAATACAAAAAAGTTTTCACAAGTTGTTGGAAGATACTAGTGTTTTATTGTATCTCTCCACAATTACGAGCAAAAGAAACAAAAAGGAAAAACTAAGAATGAACATCAAAACCAGATACTAGTGTTTTATTGTATCTCTCAACATTCATGTGCTTATGAGAAAATGATGATAATATTGGATAATCACATTTTCTCTTAAGGAAAAGTTTAAGTTATGAATTTTCTCAGAAGCAACACCAGCTTGGGTGAGAATTTCGGCATTATACTTAGCAAGTAAGAAATACAATTTTGTTGAAAAATGTATCAACATGAGGATAAGGATACAAATTACTGCACATCAACAAAGCGTGCACTTAGAAAAGGGTACTCAAAACTATTAAATCTCATTCTAATAAAGAAAATTCACTCAGTTTTCAAGACCATGAAGCAACATGATCTACATAAAGCAGTAGAGCATTGAAAGGCCAAGAAGTTCCCCTAATATCAAAAAAATTGTTAAATAATTATGCAGAATCTCTCATATTGTACGATTAACTATCCAATATTGGTCACCTTATTTATCTCACTGCTGTTCAATTTTCAGATTTTTATGGAGATATCCAAAAAGTGACAAGACTTATCCTGTAACTAGTCTGATGGTGTAAACTTTCACTCAATGTTTTTGTTTCGTTGGTATAAATGCTGTAAATTTTCAGCAATGCATGGCAACTAGCTGAACTGAAAACAAATTATTAGGTAAGCATCAACTATCGTGATCAAAAGAGGATTAGCTGCTTGACCAAGAGTGCATTTAAAACAGAAAAATCAAACTCCTGACATGCCAACATAGAAACCCCTTTACAGTTCAAACTATAAATTTAAGCCCACAAATCTATTATCAATATCTACAACTTACTATTGTTCAGCCATCAACCCATGAGCTTGGAAATTCAGCATAGTGAAGGGTAAAAACTCATCATCAACATTCTTGCCTTTATCCCATATGGATGGGGTCGGCCGCATGAATTCTCTTTTTCCATTCTTTCTATTATACACCATGTCTACTCTTAAATTCAAAATTTTTAAGTCATTTTTAATTATTTCATCCCATGTAAGCTTTGGCCGGCCTCTTTGTCTTTCATGCTTATAATCCTGGCATTGTTATATAATATTGTTTGTAACATTATGCATCAATCAAATAACAAAATAAAGCATGTCAATACATGTTAAATATTAATAAAATTGATAAATGCAAATAATTTTAAAATAAAAATTAAAAACAAAAGCTAGATGAACTTACTGGAATACCCAAAGACCAAGATTTGGCAGCAGCAATAACAGCCTTAGAGAAACCATTCATTCCTCGGCCATCCTCCCCATAATCCCCAAGGAAATAAGCACCCAAAATCCATCCTGTTGAATACCAAATGCCAAATCTACGCATTCAGAGTTTTCGAGAAACAAGAACTACAATACAATTCATCAAATTTATGCCCAAAAAAAAAAAAAATCAAACAACAATCACACACATATACCAGGTATAAAAGGGTCAGTGATGCCTAGGGTTTGAGTGTCAAAAACAGAAAACCCAGCTCAACCTTCCGATTGCGGAGAAAAAAAGTAAAGCCAACACGTCCCCACCAGCAAGCAGAGCCACCCATCTGACATACAAAAACCAAAAGCATAATTTTGGCCACATATCCATACATATACGTGTGTATTTACATAGCTTGATGATCAGTATTGTCGTTGTTGTTTGTGTGAGTAACAAACAAAACAAACAGTGTTGATGTTGGCCACCAATTTCGGTGTTTCGAAAAGCCAAACGATTATATGTATACACAAAAAAAAAACATGCGTGTGTGTGAAGCGGATGAGAATCGAGTTTCAATCACAGTTGCTATGTTCTGTGGGACCAGTAGAACACCAATCTTGTTGTGGCCGCAAAGAATCACAAGCAGGGTGTCAAATTAAAGTCAGGATTCTTCCATTTTCTGTCCCCAACATTTAAAATGAACTACATATTCTAGTACAGTGTCAAAAAAAAAACATGACAGTAGAGTGAGGTTTTGTGAATGAAACCCTAAAAAATATGAATCATTTCGTTGTGAATCAGATATGTTTGTGTTCGCGCGGTTTTTGTTCCCTCGCCGGTCGATGGACTCTTCGCGGGCGTGCCAGAGTATTTGTACAAAATACCCAAAATATGTAATTGAACACCAGTTTATCCCTTTTTCCGATGGCTGACTCTCAGGCGATTGTGTGGGAGAGAGACTAGTAAGAACTCCCAGCAAGGTTCTTTTATGCCTTATTTGTAGCAAGGACTTTTTAGAGTGTCTAAAGAAATGCAACGGTTGATGAATGTTTGAATGGATGGAATGGCCGAGTGAAGACAGGCGGCAAGAACTTAATCGATCGCCGGCCGAACGTGATGGCGAGAACTTAATCAATCGCCATCAGCCAAACACAATGGTAAGAATTTAATCGATCGCCACTGAAACGTGATAGCAAGAATTTAATCAATTGCCATCAGCCAAGTAATGACAAAAATTTAATCAATTGTCACTACGATTCAATGGCAAAAATTTAATCAATTGCCATTGAATTGAAAGCCTAACTAAAATTGCGTAATTAAAATTGGCATAATTGAAATTGAAAGAAAGTAAATGGCTGAATCGAAATAGTTGACGATGATCTAATCAATTGCCATTAAATTGAAATAAAGAAATTGATAGGAAAATGACGTAGAGTCAATTGAAAACATTTTTAGTTGAAATGCATGTTTTGTGGTGGTGCTGGACGAATTGGAAATGGAATACAATACTTCTATTTATAGAAGTTCTATCTCAACTTATTTTCCTAAGTTATTGCTAGAATATCTCTTTGCTCCTTGATTTTCTTCACTTTATTACTCAAACTAAACCACGTTCCAGTAGTCTTTTGCGTCTCTTCTCTTCTTGCTTCAATAGGAAAGTCCTTGCTAAAATCTCTCCTTGATCCAGTCAAATGCAAGTTGTCGAGAAATATGCTGAAAAGTTGATGGAAAGTTGCTAACTTTTAGCAACACCTTTCCTTAAGTTAGGCTGAAAACTTCCCTTAAATGACTGGAAGACCATTCATAACTTTTGCCCAAATTATCCCTCACGTGACGACCTCTCCTTTGAATTCCTTATTCCTTTGCAACGAAATTCCTATTTCATAGGAATCTCATTCCAACTAAATCTCTTCTATCCAAACTGAAATAATATATTTGAATTAACTCAAATATTAATTACCAAATTTCAGCAACAACCTTATTGGATAAGGTGGCTAAATTCCTAGATTTTCTCCTCTTATTTCTCAATTGGCCGACTTTTCTTGAAACCATACTAAACAAGTGTCGGCCCATCGCTGGTCCACGTCACCACTGAGGTGGCTGCCAAGTTTTGGTGCCAACAGTTTGATCCTAAACTACTACTGCTAACATGTGTTAAGACTTTGATAAACCAGATGAGTAGAGTAACTGATGCTGAAAGTATTTAAACACATCTTTGAGACATAGAAATGACACACCTTTGATTGATTGTTGTTTGAAGGCCGACCCAGAGGTTCTTGATGTATGTATGTATGTATGTACGAATTGAAAAGTTGAGGAGTGAATCAGCAGTAACTTCCGCTCCAATTTTGTCATCAAAGATCAAAATTGAAACCCTAGAAATCGACCAATGTAAACCCTGTGAGCAAGTCTAACTTGTAGCCAGTAAAGGTATATTTAGGGAGACTTACTGTGCACCGGTTCATCTTGTGACCTGGTGGCTTACGGTCTTAAAATTGAGCTATCGGTTGGATAAACTATGAAGGAAAAGAAAGAGAATGATAGTATTCATGTTGAAATTGTGTGAACTAACTTGAGGATTTTAATAAGGATTGAAATTTGATCGACTTGGAAAGAAATTTCCATTTTCTTTGTAAGGCTTCACAAAACATATACAAGATATGTATACAGAGACAATGTAATATGGTAAAAAATCATGGATTTAAACTAATTTTCTGTTGATAAATGCTGGGTGATGGGTGATGTGGCGAAGAGATCGTTCCACGTAGGTCAGGAATGCTGAGGTTAGTGTCTGAGTGGGAACTCAAGCTATACCAAGGATTATTCATTGGTGAAGATTAAAAGAAGGAAGACAGTTGCTCAGTACTTCTTTAACTCGAGGTCTGGTAGTAGGTTTTGTGATTTTTGTTGTCTTGTCCTTAACTTCTGATTTATATGCCTATTTATACTTAGTTAGTTCTGGATCTGAGAGGGTAACCTCCTTTTGTCCAGTGGGCAGAGGGACTTCCTCCTGACTGATGGAACGTCAGGAGGGTGGCCCAAGGCAACATGTGCCTTGGGTCTGGTGATGCAATAATTATTCTGTGCATAGGTTATTTCAGTGTATTTAATGCGCTGAGTGACTCTTACCTTCCCGGACCTTGGGTTCAAGTACTACTGAGCGTTTCCTCCCCTTGTTATAGGCCTTAGGATCAGAAAGGAAACGGGGGGAGGTAGACATATTTCCTTCCACCCCCCCCCCCCCCCCCTTTTCCCTTCTTCTTCATAAGGCAATACCTTGAATTCCAGCCTCCCATCCACTACGACTCAGATTCCGATGCCAGGGGAAGAGGGGAAGGCTCCGAGATTTTGCCTTCTTTGGCCTCGCGTTCCCCCAACTTCCAAGCTCCTCGAGCTTCCCACAGCGGGCAGCTTAGGGAGATCAGCCAGTAGAACCCTCGGGCCCCTATCTCGAGTACTGCGGGAAACGATGGGGCACCGCCAAAACAGGAGAGTGGGGGGTAGCGACCCCCTCCTTTTATGAGCTCAGGTGCTCACATACCAAGCCCTAATAACTCGAAGTTCTTAGGGCTTCCAGAGTAAAGTCGGGTGGGACCCAGTATGGCCCATCAGTGCTGACTAGTCAGGTAACATTATTATTCAGTAGGGACACGTGACATTCCTTGTGGCAGTGATTATTGACATTATGATTCAGTAGGGACACGTGACGTCCCTTGTGGCAGTGACTATCAACATTTTGCCCCCTACTCGAGGTCCCCTTTGGGGGGGGGGGGGGGTCGAGCAATCAGAGGGGAGACGCTTGATTAATATTCATGGGGACATCATTTTTTGTGGGGGAACGTGTCAGCCTCTGATTGGCTATTCACGCTGCACGGTGGGTAATGGGTTATTACTACTTGCAACGCCTCGGGTTGCGTATTGCATCACTTTACCTACCAGACTTTTATTAGTCACATCGCTTCATTACTCGAGACGCTTCGAATTCCGCACCACGCCGCTTCATCTGCCAAACTCTAAAAGTCTCCTCATTTCCTCTTGCTATATAAATTCATTACTTAAGCATTTTTTCCAAAACTCACAAGTTTTTTGAGAGGGAGAGATGAGAGGAACTTGAAGTACCCAAGAAGAATTTCAAGGCTACCCTAGTTCCAGTCTCGCTTGCGATTCCCCTTTCCCTTGTATCTTTCCAGATTTGCAAGTGCTATGTCTCACATTTCCCGTATCGATGTCCCTGAGGTTCCTCCTCTATCCCAGTGGAGGGTTGCTAGGCTTTTTGGCCCAGGCGATACCTTTTGGGCTGACTCAGAGGAGCTCCATGAAGATGATGAAGTTCAGGGTGCCTCGCTTCTTCTTGAGGGGGAGCCATACTCCACCGAGGGCTCACCCGTGCCCCCTAGCTCGGTTTTTAGGTTCAGAATCGAGTGTGGTGACTTTCCTTACTCCAATCTCACCTTTATTAGCCAGACAGGCTCTGGTGCAGGTTGGAATTTATGGACAGATGCCATTTTAACTAATGAAACATTCCTCCTTCTTTTGGAGGCAGCGAGAGTCACAGATGCAGTACACAATACCCGTCAGCTGGCTGTTAACAGGGACACCACCGCCCTATCCCTTTTGTTTTCGCGCTGGAGCAAGGCTACCCATACATTTGTCACCTCATGGGGTGAGTTCACCCCTACCCTTGAAGACGTCGTTCAATTTATGTGACTAAACATGTTTGGCGCCCATGATCCCAACTCTTGGTCTCTTTCCCCAGAAGAAAAGGAGGAAGCTAGCGTTCTCCGTGGGCCCTCACTGCTACTTCGAAAATTGCTACCAAGTTCCAAAATGATGGGATTTGCGAGGAGTTCCCAGAGACAAGGAACAAGTGCACCTTCATTTTAGTACTTTGCTACTACTTCTTGGATGTCCCCCCCTCCTGAGTTCCCAGATGAGAAACCCCTCAATGGTCCAAAAAGTAGGGACCCCCTTCGCTTTGTTTCTTTCATCTTATTATGGTTTTCTTGATTCATCTTTCCCGGCCCTCCAGATGATTGGCCAAGCCCTGACTTGATTCCTCTGGCTATCCATCTCTCCCATGGCAAGAGTATCCCTCTATCGCCTTTATTTCTTCGGATCTTATATCATGAGTTGGACAGGGTCCATGATCATATGGAGGAATGCGCTGGTCGCCTCAACGTTGTTTCTCTTATTTGCACAATTTTTCTTCAAATGTTCCTCTACAAACATTTTCTGAAGCACACCTCACGTCCTAACTAGTCAGTCGAGGATGACTTTAAGAGGTCCGCAAGATGGCATAAGCATCAGCCAAAGAAAAAACTTGTTGAGTTCATTGATAGACCGAGCTACTTCGTGGCTTGCCCCTACTTCCATGGTCCTTGCCTCAACTTTTATATCCCAGAGATTGTGAGGAAGGTCTCAGGGGATGTTCTTAATTGCGTTTCATCCTTAGTCAATTTTGCCTTGATCTCAGAGGGTTATCTTCCTGCTCTTATCCTCCT